GGGAGGGTGGGGCGTGGGAGTCTGTCCGTCTCAAACCTGCAATAGAAAGTGTTTAACTCGTTGGCCAGGTCTTTGTTTGCTTCAATAGTGGGTGGGGGGCGTCTGTAGCTGGTGATTTCCTGCAGGCCCCTCCACACTGACGCAGGGTCGTTGGCTGAGAGCCGTTAAAGTGGAGTATTAGAGACCAAGCAGCCAAGAACATACAGGAACAGGTGTATTCTTCAAAATATGAGTTTTATTATAGCCCCATTTCAAAAATATACAGTCACAGAATAAGCTATTTTAAGAACTAATTGAGCCTATAAGAGAGGTCAACTAAACAGAATTCTGCTCAAAAAAATAATACTTAACTAAATATCATAACTCAACAAACTGACCTGCCCAAATGAGAGACAGCAGAGGGGACAATAACTAAACATAATACAGAAAAACTAACAGCAGCCAGGTAACTCAAAAAGAACAGAAAATTAATTATTAACCACTCAGCAATAATTGCTGCAATAGCAAAAGACAAATATTATAAGCAATAATAATAAGTTTCCCATAAGTCCCATAAGATAATACAATAACATGCTTTTTTTCAGTGTTAAATATTGCCGCAATTAGCAGTACTTTGCATGTTGCAAACATTAGTTAGTAGTTGGCACCATGTTTCACACCGTGAGAAAGGAACTCACAGAAATGCATATGCAAGAGGGTGAGTCACAAAAATATCAGGTCCCACTTCTTACATAAAATTTTGTCATAGTAAATACTTTTTTTTCTTTTTTTTTTACTTTAAATACTTACTTTTAATTTTTACACCAAAACACACTTTGCACTGGTGCAAAGGTTAGTAACTCTGGCCCTTGGGCTGTGGACAGGGCTGGACTGGGACAAAAATTTGGCCCTGGCAGGAAGCCCACCATGATCACTCAAAAATAAATTAAATAAATATGTCATGTATACACATATTATGTTGATTATAGATATTAATTGTTATTGGTACAGTTGTACTTTTGTTAGGACATCTTAGTTGCACTGCAGTGCAACATGTTACAATTAAAAGCCACACTTTAGCTATTAGGAGTGGTTTATGGTCAAAGTAGCCATTCATTTTACCTATATCCTTGAATCTTTCCTTTCCTAATTATGTTAATTGCACCTTACTCCATCTCTTCCTCACTTAGTTGTTGAGACTGCTGTCCCACCTCCTACTCTTCTCCACAGCTGGTGCTACCAACAGCAGCCTCCTGTGAACCAGGGCTTGTTACTAGTTGTTGCTGGTACTGCTGTTGACGGTGCAGCAGCAGGCCCGACAGCTAACGTGTTGGTTAACTGGACATATTTTACTGCATCTACTTTTAGTTTCTTTTTCTATTTAGCTTTACAGCTCCACCTTTTCACTACTTTTTCCACACTAAACTCTTCTTCAAGGTGCGTGCACAGCGAAGGTATGATGAAGTGTAAGTAATGAAAGTTGTATGAATGTATGAGCTGTTGTACAGCTAGTGTGCAGCAGCCCTTCAATTGACCCACCGGCCCAAAAGTGCATTGGCCACCAGGAACATACCCAGTAGACCAGTCCATTCCTCACTGTGGAGAGAGAGAGAGAGAGAGAGAGAGATAAATAAATAGATAGATAGATAGATAGATAGATAGATAGATAGATAGATAGATAGATAGATAGATAGATAGATAGATAGATAGATAGATAGATA